TTTCTTTTCTTTTCTTTTCTTTTCTTTTCTTTTCTTTCTTCCCCTAGTTCTTATCTTTCCAACATCTGAAATTCTTTTATTGCCCAGAACTGGACAGCCAAGGCTTTTATTGATTTTTATCTTTCAAATATCAAGGCAGTCACCAGAGTTTCTTTTTTTAAAGTATATCACCCTAACATTTTAATGAAAGAGAAAAAACTCCCTAGGTTATATTTTATTATAGTAATGACTCAGTCACTTTACATCTTTTGTCCCTTCCATGCCACTGATTTCCTCGAATGAGATGAGGCTATGTGCCAGACCACCCCTGTGTATTGCGTAGAAGTCATTCTTATCTGTGTATTTCTGGTTCACTGCCTATCTTTTCTTATTAGCCGTCCAGCTAAAGTTTGCAAAACAGGAAGTGTTAGTATTTCTGGTATTTGATGACAATGAAAAGTTTGGTCTCATTTCATGGGGCAGCAGCGATATGGAGGGTGTCTAAGTTTGCCTTTGTGTTTCTTCTAGGCTCTGTTTTTGATTTTAGACAGATGAGCCAGTGTTAAGGTGCTACTTCAGAGAATATTTCGAGAAATCAGATAACACTGTGCCAAGGTATACTTTCTAGATGCTAAGCACCGATTGGCCCTCCAGAGAATAATAGCCTTTTGATACCTCACTCCTGATAAATCTCATCCATTAACCTCAGCTTCTCAGGAATCCTTGTAACACATATGCTAGAAGTAGCTATAGTGTATGGTATTCATTATATGTCCAATCCTATGGTTTGGCTCAAAGGTTGGCTAATTGTGGCTACAGTTCTCCGCTAGACTGCTAGCTCAGCACCTTAACACTCTAGAGTTTCTTGTCTTAAGGCAAAGGAAAATGTTCTTTCTGCTATTGCCAATTCAGCAGTTGGACATACTTAACCAACAAACAAAGCTGATACAGGGAGGTCTGTCAGTCGCCTCAAATGGCCACATACCTCAATGGCAAAAGGCTAGATAATCTGTGATTGGCAAATTAATTTGAGTTGAAACTAGTCTGTTTTGGCATTAAGAAAAGAAAATTGCCCTACACAAGGGAAGGAGCTATAAAAGAATGCCAATAAGTGCTTCAAGAGAGTTAGGATTTTCCGAGGGAAAATATGCCGTAGACATCCAGCCATTAAAAGAGTGGGAGTCTACAGGTTCATTAATAGTCTAACTGGTATATTTTGTGTAGTCAGGTCTTCAATGTAAATAATTAAAGAAGCCAAAACAGGTAATGCATGGTTATACCGTTGGAGGGAAAGAAGCAAGGGACTGAAAATGCAAACTAATGGCCACTTTCAAGGTCGTTTCTATTTGGATGTTTGTTCAGACACTCTCCTCTTTTCTGGCCCCAGCTTCCTTCTGGTTCAAGCCAACTGTCGAGTGGAGGTGGTATAGTCCAAAGAACTGATAGCCTCTGGTGGATAATCTGACACTGATGACACTTTGGATTTTGCCAGTAGGCAGAACAAATGATCAATTCGCTGAATGAACAGCAAAGCAGTTCAGTTGTTTTGGCACCAGAGGCTGAAACTGAACCCCTTTTCAGGAAAAGCCGAGCATAGTGTAAATTTCCCTAGCAAGTCTCCAACTTCATTTGAACATGAGAAAGAGAAAGTAATGGGGATTTAGTGTGGTCTAAGGCTGTGAAGTAACTCTGAACCATGATGTTATAAACTCGTTCAGGTGTGGGGGGAGCAAATCTATTTTTAAAAACTCATCATGCACTAGAGTATGTCATGCACAGAAATCATGGCATATTACATTATAGGTTTTAAGTATTTGAATCACCTGTCTCCATTGGGTCTCAATCTTGGTTTGTGTTGTGATGTGATGAACAGGAAGGTGAACTTACTACCCCATGGTATCTTTGTTTTTGTTTTTTTAATCACAAGGGGTGCAGCTTTTGAAGTTGAGTTTTTAATGAAGATAGCGAAGACAATATTGAGAATTTGAAATGGCCAGTGTGTTTTACATTGCCAAAGTACTTACTGATGACTGGCCATGTTGCCACCCATCAGTTCAGAGAAAGCAGGAGAACATTTTTCATGGTG